TTCTCTCTTCTAAACCATCAACGTGTATGTTAGACCCAATTCCAACTAAGCTGTTGAAGGAAGTTTTTCCATTAATTAGCACTTCTTTATTAAATATTATGAATATGTCTTTATTATCAGGCTATGTTCCACAATCATTTAAAGTTGCAGTAATAAAACCTCTTCTTAAAAAGCACAACCTCGATCCAGAGGTTTTAGCCAATTATAGACCTATTTCTAATCTTCCGTTCCTCTCAAAAATTCTTGAGAAAGCGGTCGCAAAACAGTTGTGTGATTACTTAAAAAACAATGATTTATTTTTTCAGTCTGGCTTTAGAACACATAGCACAGAGACAGCTCTGGTTAAAGTCACAAATTAAATTCTAATAGCCTCAGACAAGGGACTTGTCTGTATTCTTGTTTTGCTCGATCTCAGTGCTGCATTTGATACTATCGACCATGATATCTTATTGCAAAGACTAGAGCACTTAGTTGGCATACAGGGAACTGCTTTAGGCTGGTTTAGGTCCTATCTATCTGAACGCTCTCAGTTTGTACGTGTCAACGATGAATCTTCCACGCAAACCAAGCCATGGAGTGCCACAGGGCTCAGTGCTTGGACCTATTTTGTTCACACTATATATGCTTCCGCTAGGCAATATTATACTCAACTATATGTATCCATCAAGCCTGATGCAACCAATCACCTAAATAAAATTCAAGACTGCCTCAAGGACTTAAAAACGTGGATGACCTTAAACTTTTTGATGTTAAACACGACCAAAACTGAAGTTATTGTACTTGGCCCAGAGAATCTACGAAACAAACTATCTAAAGATATACTAGTTATGGATGGCATTAATTTGGCCTCCAGTGAGACTGTATGGAATCTTGGTGTTATATTTTATCAGGATTTATCCTTTAACGCCCACATAAAATCAATTTCAAGGACCGCCTACTTCCATCTACGCAACATTGCCAAAATTAGGCATATCTTGCCTCAAAACGATGCAGAGAAACTAGTCCATTCATTTGTTACTTCTAGGCTGGATTATTGTAACTCCTTATTATCAGGGTGTACCAAGAAGTCAGTCAAGTCGCTTCAGCTGATTCAAAATGCTGCAGCTCGTGTACTAACCAGAGTTAGGAAAAGGGACCACATTACTCCTGTTCTGGCTGCCTTACACTGGCTCCCTATAGAACACAGGATATAATTTAAAATTCTTCTTCTCGCCTACAAAGCCCTTAATGGGCAGGCGCCATCTTACCTTAAAGAACTCATTATACCCTACTGTCCTACTAGGGCATTGCGTTCCAAGAATGCAGGGTTGTTGGTTGTTCCTAGAGTCTCTAAAAGTACAATGGGAGCCAGAGCCTTTCTTATCAAGCTCCACATTTGTGGAATCAGCTTCCAGTTTGTGTTCGGGCGGCAGACAGCCTATCCGTTTTTAAGAGTACGCCTAAGACTTTCCTTTTTGATAAAGTTTATAGTGATAAAATAAAATAATCTAATAAGAGTGCATTGACGTAGATACGTTGTGCCTCTTCACCTATACATTTTAGTTCTTACTCTTTCACTTAAATCCTAAAAACTTAGATCTTATATTTAAAACTATATCCAAACCTTTCTCCTCTATGACCTCTCGAGGTTCTAATAGAGGGTAACACGTTGCAGAGAGGGCCTAGCCCGGCCAGGGAGTGTGGAACGTAGCCACAGACCTACTCTTTACCTCTAACCAATTCAGGTTCCAGTGGGGACCTTTCTCCCTTTACACACGGCATCTATTGCACGTCTGTCCGTCCTGGGAGAGGGATCCCTCCTCTGTTGCTCTCCCTGAGGTTTCTCCCATGTTCCCCTTTAAACTATGGGGTTTTTCCGGAAGTTTTTCCTTGTACGATGTGAGGGTCTAAGGACAGAGGGTGTCGTATTGTCATACTGATATTCTGTACAAACTGTGAAGACCACTGAGACAAATGTAACATTTGTGATATTGGGCTATATAAATAAACATTGATTGATTGATTGATCGCTGTGGCGGGTGCTCATTTCTTACGACTTTGGAATTATTAATACACTTTTTTAACTTACTTTATACCATGACCAAATGATAGTGTACATGTTTTTCAATGCTTTTTTTGATGTTTTTATGAAGCACTTGTTTTTGATATAGTAGAATATGACTTGTTTATATACAAGGCCTTTTTCTAAAAATGTTTTGGCCTTCAATAACTGTAAAAATGAACTCTTTATGAATAACTATCGTGACTCTTTATGACGCATAGTTCAATACTTTTTTAGAATTTTGACAATGACACTTTATGACTTTTGAAATATATACAAACAATGCTTTTTCTCGACATACTATCAACTTGTTTACATTCTATACTGTGCCGTTTTTTATATTTTTTGATATACAATACTATGACTTTTCTAAAATGTTTTGACATATATTATGATTTACTTAACATTCTATAATGTGACGGTTTTTTCATAATTTTTGACATACAATATTAGGACTTTTTTTTTACAAAGTATCCTATTCAATTTTCTTTTCTTTTTTAAAAATACTTTAATATAACTTTTTTGCATATTTCTCTACATGCTTTATCATTCCTTTTTTTTCTCACATTTTTTCACACATTGACATACGATGCAATTTTTCTGACTGAAAATAATACTATACTATGATGTTTTTTCTAAAATGTTGACATAATATACAATGTTTTTTTTATACATGTCAAAAATATGCAAAAGAACAACATAGTATACTATGTCGAAAATACTAGTATGTCGAATAATCTGAAAAAAAGACAGTGTAGTATGTCGAAAATACTAGAAAAAACAACATAGTAAAGTATGTCTATGTACTACAAACTATGCAAAAAACGAATTTTGCATACTTTCAACATACTATACCAGGGGTGCCCAACCTTTTTTGAACCGAGAGCTACTTTTAAAGTTGCCAGTCTGCCGAGATCTACCAGTCCAAATAGAGAGGCGTAGCCATTACTGACAGCCTACTACCAGGTAAATACACACTTCTACTTGTATAAAACTGACCTTTGTACGATTAATACTTCATAAAATACTGCAGATCCTTTATCTTACCTATTTCTAATCTACACACATACAAGTATTTAACTGAAGTTACACAACAGTGTTGTTGATACAGAGTTGGAGTTTATTCACACGTCACACTACAGTGGGTAATGTTTTCAAGAAACATTGAACAGTGCTGCCACATATGACACAGGAAAAAAGAAAAGACTCTGAACCCTTTCTTTGCCATTATATAAAAATAGTGTTGCTACAAAAGTATAAATTACACTTACTAATAAGACAACTCAGATCTGAAGCTACACAGGAATCTGCTGCCAAAGTGCAATAAAAAAGACAAAATTAATAGAATCAAACCCTTTTTTGTTGCATTTTAGTAGAGTATAAAAAGAAATGCCTTTAAAATAGGATGCTAGCAACACTAGTTTCTTAACCTGAATTGATAATAGACTATAATCAATTTAAACAGAACAGATCTTAATGTTTGCATTCTTATACCATTTTGTACAATAATTATAATGAATAAGTTCAAACAAACTAAAACTTACAGCTGATTAATAACGGTATCCAACTTGAGTTTTTATTATGTCAAAAACCTGTTGAAATGCTAGTTATTTTTACTGTCCCCAAAAAGCGCATCGGCAGCCTCCAGCAATGCTTCTTTCACAACTTCGCCGTCTTTGAAAGACTTCATGTGTTTCGCAAGAACGTGACTGACACGATAAGATGCTCTGGTAGCAGCCTTGCTCTTGTTGTTGGGCCTGGTGAAAATGGACTGCTGTGCATTTAGCTGTCCTTTCAGGCCCCTCCCCTTTTGGAGCGTAGGGCAGAATTAGGAGGGAATTCCGTCTCGTAGCGTTTGTGCACTGTTTTGAAATGCCGCTCCTAAATTACCCTTCTTCGATAAAGCCATGCTCGCATTGCAGATGAGACGGATGGACTTTGAATTGGAATAGATACAAAAATAATCATCCTCCCACTCGGAGTGAAAATCATATATTTTTGGCTTTTTTGCTTCTGCTATAATTGCGGTCTTGTGTGTGTGCGGACTGTCACTCCTGTTGACACGGACAACATCAGTGAACTAGTGCAGTGTGCACTTCCCACCAGCCACGCCCCGACACATGGGGTCACGCCGGCCAATCACAAAGCTGTGATGCGTTCAAGTGCATTTTTCTGGCACAGGAAGATTATTTTATAGGACATTAACGATAAAAGCGAATATTGTTGTTCTATTTTTAGACACATCTCGCGATCGACTGGGAATCTCCCCGCGATCGACCGGTCGATCGCGATCGACTGGTTGGGCACCCCTGTACTATACTATGCCGAAACGATGGAAAATGCAACATAGTATGTTGAAAAAAAATAAAATGATATAATATAGTTTGTAAAAAATATGCAAATTCGAAAAAAACAACATAGTGCAATATGGGATATTGGGATTTCTTTACAATATATACAATATCAAATAATGATTCTTTAACAATACCCTTTGTAACATATAGGTACACTGAATATCCGTGCAGTAATTTGTGTAGATGTTGAGCCACTGAGTTCCCGACAGCTCCTTTTTATCCTGCAAAAAGCTATTCAAATATTTTTTACATCAGCTTGAAATAAACTTTGTACCACATTATTAGAACAAGATGTGTGTTTCTCTTTTTACGGGAAGAATTAAGGTATTTTATTGATCTCTGGCAGGTGCTCAACTCTTAAGCCCTTGGAGTGCCATTGAGAAACACACACACACACACACACCTAATGAAAATGAGATCTTTGTAGCATTTACAATGAATGAGTATCACACACACACGCTGTAAAGAATTTCCACTGGAGTCTGCCCAGGCTACATGTGCAGTCCAACTGACGCTGGGCAGCAGGATCGCATGTCCTCGTCTGTCTAGACCTGAAGGACTCGGCCCAGAAATAGCTCTTAAGAGCCCAGAAGAAAAACAAACAGTTCTCGTGGCTCTTGGTTTATTTAACACTTTTCATTTCACATATTTTTGGGTTGGAATTTAATGTAATAGAACATGACATTCTTAAAGAGAGCACAGAGTTCAATAGTCAACTAGTTGGCTATAATTCTCCAGCATCCTTCCTGGGTCTTAGGAAATAACTTCAGAGCAGAAGGAATGTACATTTTGGCAGGAAATAGGTTCTGATATTGATCTTACAGTCAGTGAATCTGGCATTACAAAAGAGATGTGGTCTCTCTGAACCCTTTGTATACAACCTTATGCAAGTCAACTTAGTTACATTCTTCACATGCTGTTTCTAGGCAATTAGCTATCGACTGTATTCATCTCTCACAAAACAGCCCTGCAAAAACTATCCAGTAACTTTTGGAGAAAAAAAGGCACTACGCTTAAATGTGTGCTAGCTATCTGTTCTGTGTGTATGCTAGCAGAATATATCAGCTGTTCATACACAGCAGAGGATCTGTAAACAGAAACAATGTAGCTTTTACCAAACCGTACTACACTGCTACAGCAGTATATGCTAATGGTCATGGACTTCTTAAAATAAAGACTGTTCATTCTGCAAAACACATTAACACTGAACAGAGGAATGCATTTGTTTAGGTAAACAAATATGAAAAACGTTTCAACAGATTATGGATTCTTCAACTTTGAATGAAAACTATTTGATGGAGAATAAAGGATAAATTGATATTTTCGTCAACAAAAATATCCCCTTAAACACAGTTCCTATCCTTCCTTTTGAACTGGACAATGTACTCCTTGCACAAAGCCAGCACCATAAAGAAATGTTTTTCGAGTTTGATATAGAGGAACATGACTAGTCTGCACAGAGCTCTGACCTTGACCCGATCCAGAACCTTTAAGAAGAACTGCAACACTGACTGTGAGACAGACCTGCTCACCCAACATCAATGATGCAATCCCTGCAGCAGGTGTATATGTGGGGCCATAAAGTGTCAAATGTTTCTTATACTCTCATAGAGAGCAAACGTATCTTCTCACAAATCAATCGTCCTTGGGCAGCGGGATGCCGACTGCAGTCTGCTGCCCCTGCATCTGCTGCTCCGCCCGGGCCACCTGCTCCTGACTGCAGCCGTCCTGCAGGAACACAGCGGCCAGGCTGCGCAGGCGGGGGCTCTCTGAGAGCGAGAAACGCAGCATGCACTGCAGGATGGCCGGATCAGTGATCTCAGCGCGTGACGAGGGCGTAGTGAGGTTCATCAGTGTAGTGATGGCTGACAGGACTGTCTCCTCTCTCTGGTTCGACAGGCAATTTGTGACCAAACTGATCCCGTTGCTCTGCAGGATAACGTCTCGGCATTCAGGGTCCATACTCAGGTTACACAGCCCCCCTGAGAACATGACACACACGAGAAAAGTGAGGAAACAGTTTATGCACAATGCGAAAACAAGGAGATGATCATTTGTACGCACCCATCCCAAACTCCACAAAATTGGCATTGTCCTCAGTGAGCATGTCCAAAAAGAGGTCGGGCACCTGCAGCTCCCTTAGATTCTCCATGTTGTTTGGGTCGTATGCAAAGTTAGCAAGGTTAGCCAGCACCTGCTCCTTTGCCTCTGAAAATGTGAAATAAGTAATGTAAGCAAGTTCAAATAATAGTTCAAAAGAACACATTCATTTAATAAATTACAGTCAATATCAGTTTATCCTACACATACATACTAGCTGATAAGTAACAAGAAGATGCAGACAGTAGAGAAATGCAAACATGTATTCGAAATCACATTATTACAGATTTTGTCCACCAGAGAGCAGTGACACCCTTATTTTTCAACTGTAAAATGAGGGATGTCATAAGTAGGAACAACTAAAACATTTGTAATGTTTGTTCAAATGATGTGTGTGTACATTAAATAAAATCACCATGTTTTTAACCAGCTTTTTGCTTCAAAACAACACATCAGAAATGAAATGTATATATTAACAAGCGTTAAACAAGTTCAAACTCAGTGGAAACAATTAGGTTCTGGAAACAAAAGAAGGATGTATCCTTCATTTAGATTTAGTAAATCAAAGACTCTGTTAATTCAACATTTCCGACAATAAATTGTTAAAATAAAGGTTACATTTACCATCTCAACATCACTTCTGATCACTGGGTTCATATCTTCCTCAGAAACAGGCCACTGGCTCATAAAATACAACATCATCAACAGTCACCACAACAACTGGAGCCCCTCAGGGCAGTGTCCTCGGTCCTCTCTTTTACACTACACACATCCGTATCATCACTTCATCATATACATCAAATCCTCTGAAACTCCCATCAACTTTCTACTGCATGGCAATAGCCGAAGTGCTTACGTACTGTCTGCAGCTGAACATGAACAAAACTGAAGAATAATAGCACATCACACACAGCCCACCCAGAACATCCATCCAGGGAAATACAGTTGAGCAGGTGACTCAAATCATTTTCTATTGCTCCCCTAACACTACTCAAAATCGTAATGCAATGCAGACCATCCTGCTGCACTGTCAAATAAATGCAGGAGTAAAAAGTGCAGTATTTGACTCTGACATTTGGTATACAAAGGGAAACAAATGGGAATAGAGGACGTACAATGCAAGACAAGTAACTCACAATTTCCCCTAACTACTTGATTAGATTTACTTAGGTTATAGTAATTTTCCAGTGCTAGACTGACAGCAGTTTTCTAATTCTGTTGTTTACATGACGGATTGTGCTTTCAACATAAACAACGAGATTTTTTCTATTTTCAAGACATTCTCAAATGAACCAAATAAACATACTGCATTGAGTAATGACAAAAGTGTACCTACCTTCACTGTCTGTGTCCTGAAACTCAGTGACCAGAGTTTGTAAATATTCAAACCGGTCAGAGCCCTCGGACGAATCTTTCTTCCACATGTTATTAGCTTAACTATATTAACTCTAGTTATAATAAATAAACTATTTCTGAACACAAACTTGCCTTATGCACTGGCACTGTGAATAACACTGTGGTCCGTCTGTTAAATGTGTCCGTACATCTACGTATTTCCGGCTAAACCTTCAACTTTAAAACATTTTTTTAAATAACCATAATTATTTTTTAAATATAAAATGAAACCACACAGTAAAAAACAAACATATTTTGGCTTTGGTGGTTAAATACATGCCATCGTGTTTTGTAAGATACATTTGATTGGTGCATAAACAATGTGAACCGGAAGTCGTGTTACGTGATCAACTGCACCACAAGCACGGAGGAGTGTATTTAGTGGTTAGCTAAAGGTCAGCTGTGAAGCAAATGTAGGGTAAACTTTGCTTACATTTCGGCCTGTAGACACTTCACTGCGAATTTAGCTATAATGACGCATCACCAGCTGTCTGCGGTTAAGCGTCTGACCAAACCCTTTTTATTTGGGACGCTTATTGTGGGATTAGGCACTGCTTTCTTCAACAGGTAACTAATGATGTATTGCATTGTGTGTATGTTTTGGTTTAGTTTTTTCCCATGAATCCCGTATTAATCATCTTCTTAAATTGAAAGGCTAACACACAGACATCATTCAGCAGCTACAAACAAGGTGCATTACTCTACATACAAATAACTATACTTACTAGACCGTTATGGACAACTGTGTATGCCTATTTAGCAAATATAATTAATTTAATTATCGACTGATCTGCCAAATATTTTCTGGATTGATTGATTATTCTGTAAACAATTCCTGCAGGACTAATAATTGTGTTGCACAATACACGCCTACAGTTTACTATGATATACAAAAACACCTCACATCCTTACATTTGAGAAGCTGGAACCAGTACATATTTTGAGTTTACTTGAAAAATGGCTTAATCGGATATCAATATAGCACAATACCATAAAGTAGTGAAATGCAAAGTTTTAAAGGACACAGACGTGCTTTCCACTATTCATTTCTGTCCGATATTTTATTCCTCCATCATTAATCAATATAATAAATATGATTCCTCCTCTTCCCATGCAGGCACAAGTTCTTTGAGGATTTGGAGGAGCTCAAGGCTCAGGAGCGAGAACGCAACGAGGCCAAGAGGAGGGAGATCATGGAGAGGAGGATGAGGCAGATCGAAGAGGTGGCAGAGAAGAAGAGAGGAAGAATCAGCTGAACTGCAGCCTGAACTATCACTGTTGAAGGCCTACTACACGACTCTTCAGACTCTACATGTATATATTCCTGTACATAGCCTGAAGACACATGGCTGTACTTCAGTAAGCCAAACTGTTAAGCATCTGTGCATGATTCAGTCACACACATGAAATGTACTGCTTTGTGTCTGTTTTGAGACATGAATACTCACAATTAAATGACCAAGATATGACAAGTACAGCTCTGTTTTTTACCTGTAAATGTTTGTCCAGCAGAGGGCAGTGTTGATTACCATTTAACGGGCATATTGGGTTTTGTCAAAGTATAGTTCTTTAACTATTTATCATATCGTTTTTATATTTTTAAATGCACCCTGTAGGTTTCCATTCGTTCCATTAGGCCTACAAGCCCTTACATCTGGCTAGAGTGTCTCATAATTTGCAGTAAACATCATTATACATTAATTTTGTATGTTACATTAGTGATTTAATTTAACAATTAAATAATTTTAATGTGATGCATGCTGATTTAAAAGTAGTCTAAAAATACAATACTACAAGCAAAAGAAATACACCCAAAATGTTCCTTTAATTCAACAGTATAAATTAATTTGCAAAGTTCTAGTTTTATTATGAAGGAATAATCTCCACAGCCCTAGTGATGTTTTAATTCATTGTTTTGTCTGACTTAAAGTTTACGCCTACATTTTTAATAAATGGTTATACAAACATAAATACCCCAAAAAGTATCATATGCGAATCTGGAATCAGAGAATAATATAAGCATGTTTAAAAAATACCTAAAATGATGGATTCATTTCCAAAACAGTTCAATAATTGTAGCGCTCATTTCCGCCACAGCAAACAAAGATTGAAACGTAACAAATGTTACAGAATTGCACCTTTTATTAAAACATGCCGTAAAAGAAATCTGAAATAAATAAAACCTACAAACTATAACTAACAAACAAGCAATATTGCACTTGAATAAAAAGTGAGTTCAAACAAAGTCAAAGTGCTTCAATTGCTCTGAAAATGTGTTATAAATCAAAAGCTTTTACAACATGATCAAAACTGACTACAGAATAAAAGAATGCTGGTTAACTGGTCTGAACACGACAGCAGCACCACTTAAAGGCTGTCGATAAACATTGATCAATATGACCCATACTGTACACATGTCACATCGTTCAGAGGATAGATGGTGTTTGACTCACTACAATGACACAGACTCACCTTCCCTTCTTTTCAAAATGCTTGAAACTTAAATTCTATAAAACAGGGGTCACAAGATAACGGTTGAATTCCCAAATCACAGACACAACAGAGATCATGTTGAAAACATTAACCTGTGAGGCCCACATTTTGCAAACATCAATAATGAATGGAGAACTGGCGGCCATGTGGATATCTGCGCATGTGGCAACCCATATAACTGGTTATTTTCCTTTCATGGTTTCAGCACGTGGATGTGAGTGCACATCACTGACGACTTAATTGAAGTCATTGCTAGTTTAAAGCATAGACTGTATAGGTAAAGGTTTAAAGGCCGAAAAAAGCTGTTGCATTCTTTATTTATTTAAAAAAAACACATTTTAATTGCATATTTAATCAGAGGCAGCGAGCCCCAATTTGTTATTCAGTAGTTGCCTCTCCGTGTCTTTTATTATTGGTTGTACGGTTCTTTGAGTCATGTTGACTCTTTGTAGTACATTTCTTTGTCTCTTTGAACGCCGTAGTGGATTTGTGTGTTTTTTAAATCAGTGTGTTTCTTTGTAGTTGCTTTTTTCTGTATCTATTGTAGTTGCTTTGTAAATGTTTAAGTCTCTGAAGTTAAAGTTTGCTCTTGGATCATTTGTGTGTCTTTGAAGTTGATTTGTTTGTCTTTGTAATTTTTTTAGATTTGTGTCTCTTGTAGTTGTTTCTCTTTGTAGTCATTTAAAATATTTGTGTATTTATTTGGTATCACTTTGTTGTTGGTTTTTGTCTCGACTCATTTTAAGGCTCATAGTTTGGTGTCTCGTTGTAGTTGTTTGGTGTCTCTTCGTAGTTGTTTGGTGTCTCGTTGTAGTTGTTTGGTGTCTCGTAGTTGTTTGGTGTCTCGTTGTAGTTGTTTGGTGTCTCGTAGTTGTTTGGTGTCTCGTTGTAGTTGTTTGGTGTCTCGTTGTAGTTGTTTGGTGTCTCGTTGTAGTTGTTTGGTGTCTCGTTGTAGTTGTTTGGTGTCTCGTTGTAGTCCCCTCATGTTTCTTTGTGGTCATTTTGAGTCTCTTCCTGGTCGAACACCTGAAACCTGACCCTATGGCCTGTAAGCCTGATCAGTAATCAATCCATGCTTTTAGGCTGATAAGGTGCACATATTTCGCAATTCAGGGTGAGATCCTAGTAAATCTTTACATTTGTGAAGAGTAGATCTTTGTACAAGCCAGTGAGCAAACAGCAGATACAGTAACATGAAATATACAGACAGCGACCCATAAGTACAGTGTATCAGGTCAGAACAACAGAGAGGGGTACAACAGTACATCAATAACGTTTTACAGTATTTGTCTGAGGCCTTGTCTTCATAGATGTGATTTTCAATTGGAAGGACGATGCATTGGGTTTACCGTCAAACAGCGAGAGGCACTAAGCCCTGGGACGAGGCAGCGGGGGGGGCGGTGATGGCCGTCAGGGTACCAGGCTTCAGTCCATTCACCGGCCTGCTGCAAAAACAGTTACAAGAGTTACATTAAACCAGGAAGGTCTCAGAAAGAACAGTGTTGCACAAATGACCTTAACCAGCCACTGTCATACCAACAGGACGTATTAGGCAAAGCCTCCATAACATTTCATCGAATACCACTTCATTAAGGCAGTTATGATTAAACAAGCTGATAATTATGGAAGCCCATTTCTGCCAGGAAAATGTAGGAATGACAAAAATAAAAATACTCATTATTTTCTAGAGATAGATACATAACTTGTGTATAAAATAAAAAAAACAAGCCCTAAACTTTGATTAAAAATAATGTTTAAATAATTTCACAAATGCATCTTATTTTATTTATGTGAATGTAACATGAGGTATTTTTGAAAAACTGACGGGATTGCATTTGACTTTGTTTTATGTTTCTTTGAATGGATATGATTTCATGTGACAAATCATGATTGAAAACTAAGTTAGTATTATGATGGTAATGACAGTTTTAAAAAATGTTATTTTCCTGGCAGAATTTAACTCCCGTAATAAAAGGGAAAGAAATTGGAAATAAAAGAAAAAACTGCTTAAATTGTGGGATATATCCCTTCTTAATGTCTCCATCTTATACACAGAGGAGCCTGCAGCTAGTAGACAGAGATGACGCATTTCAAACAAAGTTATGTGTCTGAAGCTAAAAATGGAACTCAAATGCAGAAAGTGGAAAGGAAGCTGCAGCGTTATCCTATCTGACCGGTTACACTGGTTTCTTCTGTCGCTCGCAGTCCAACTATGACCAGAATCCCTTTGTTTGCTTTAGGCCTGAGTCGTGACTCTGGAACGCACCATTCAGAGCTGGAATGAACGACCTAATACAATGTAAATAAAGAAAATTGGCAAGCAACATGTATAGGCCGGGTTTGAACTACTAAGAGTTTCTGAATACCAAGGCAATTTTACACTTTTAATACCCTAGTTTCACGAAGTTAAAAGCTTTATTTTATTTTTTAGGATTATTCAAAGTATGCCAAACTTCTATATACATCAGTGTTACAAAACCATTGTCTAAAAGGTTGAGAAGTTCTATATTTTAGATCATGAAATACCTGATCAATGAATACATGAACACTTTGGCTATTGATCAAAAAGGTATCAAGCCCTAAGCCCTATTCTAATTACACTTCCCTCTATTACGATCAGTAAGACGAGAGGCATCTCCTGACCTTCCTGAAGGTTAGTGGTGTACATATCAAACGCCCTGCTCTGATAGCAGAAGGACAATGACCGTGTTGTGTATTTATCTCAATATGCAGACTCTGCCTCTGTAGTTCTCCCTCACACAGCAGAAACAGTCACATCATCACGCTGTCAGCCTCTGCTCTCACTATCCACCTCACACAACAACACACTGCAGATACAAGCAGCATACAAAGTGCATAAAACATCTGATTAAGTTTTAAGGAATATTTAGATTGAACTAAATGTATATTCTTCCTCTGTGTCATATTGCCAACGGTGGATTAATCCGTTGCTGAAAATAGTCCCCAACAAATGCACTATTTCATCCTGTTTGTTAATAAAAACAGTGAATAGCTTCTTTATCTTTGGTACTAAGCCTTTTTTAGCCACACCAACTGCATTGTCAGTCCACAAAATGTTGTCGTGATCTAAATATACCAACTTTTGGATGTATTGGTGTAAAACTTAAAATATTGATGGATCCCAAAGGATGGATCCTACTGACTTACTGTAGGTGATTCCTCGACTTCTCCTCCAGCATACTATGAGGTACAATTTTGGTTTGGAGTGAAAGTCGCTATTTTTTCCGATTCAATACTTTGATTTATGACTTTATACCTGCAAAACGTACACATCAGCACTCCACACTCTGTGCTTACATCTCAGCATGCATACACATCAGCATGTTAGCATTGTCATTGTGAGTATTTTAGCATTTCGCTCAAAGAAGACTTCACGTGACAAATGCCTTTTTTTAATTATTCAAATCCAGCTGTCACCAGACGTACCCATATTTGAACAAATAAAATCTTATGATGATATAAAATAAAGCAACGGCCAGCAATATTTACTATCCTACTGTCTTATAATTGCAATTAAACTGCTTTTATCCTTAGGTATAATCAAACGTAGAAAACTAAAAAGGACTCTGTTAAGTTTAAAACTCTTTGTTAATAATAAATGGTTATATGTAGGATCAAAACAAACAACAACTCACACTAGTAGGAAAGAGATCTATTCAGTCAGCTTAGAGTTAGAGAGACATTAGAAATATTCCAGCACCATTACATTTCCCCACCACCACAATCACAAAGTTAGTGGCTGGGGAGTCATCTTCTAGCCCGCAGTCTTGGTTAATGTCTATGAGCTCTACACGGAGAAAGAGGTTTGTTCTAATCAGCAGCAGCATGCGTTAGTGTACCCCGACACTCAGGGAGGAGCCGTCATTACCCAGGATCAATGAGGGGAATGTGACCTTCTCTGTCCTGCTGGGAAGAAACACACACTCCTCCTTAGTCATCCACCGGACACAATACATATCACATGACCTCTCACCAATGGTGGAAGAAGTATTCGGATGCTTTACTTGAGAAAAGTACTTCTGCAAAACGGCTAAAATACTCATAGTAGTAATTTTTCAGGAAAAGGGATGGAAAATTGTCATTTGAAAGTAACTAAAGCTTTCAATTAATGAGGTGAAATTAAAGTAGATGTTTGCACATATTGAAAATACTCAAGTAGAGGACTTGAATAAACGTACTGCTTAAATGTCCCCATCTTCTTTTTACCATCTAACACTCGTAATGCATCCTTAAACTAATCTGACTGGAATTAGATCTTGACATTACATTGCAAGATTCTTGTCTATAATCATCCCTGTCTGGATTTAAAGAGATAAAACAGGTCGTAAAAGGCAGATACATTTTGGTTTCACTCACGCTTTGTCAAAATACGACGTGTGGAGTGATTGTGAGTAGTTAGCCGTGTTTGCGTTGAGCACGTTGCCGTTGTCCAGAGTGTACGCCTTCCTCGCTTTCTGGTCCTTGGCAAAGTTCCTGCAGGCGGCCAGCTTCGACTCCAGAGCCTGAGGTGGAGACATTCAAATAAATAAGAGATGAAGGAAAGATGGGGACTTTCTAGAGAAAGGGAAACCTGAAAACAGGAAGTCTGGAGGACTGACTCACCCCGACTTTCCGCAGTAAATCACTGACGATGTTGAGGGCTGATATTCTGGCAGAAGGAGTCAACGGAGTGTTGCTGCCAAAGCCGTTTGATAGACCTGTACAGAAAGAAAAGTTAAATAAACATAGTATTCACTTAATTACTACTGCCTATAAAAACATGGAGGTGTTTACTCTGTAGTAAAAAGCTAAATGACATTTCAGAGACTTACTGTCTGGATGAATCCTTATTTTGTGTCATGACCAGTGTTGGAAATAATAATCAGTGCACAGGTTATTGTTTACTATATTTTTTCAATGTAGTCCTCTTTTTAAAATAACAATAATACTGAGGTGCACTGCATCTTACTGTATTACCAAATATGATGTCAAAAGAGGGCATTGTTCATCAGGAGAGTATCCAAAAGGTGTTTTCATTTGTTTTTCATATTTATATAAAGTACCATCAATTGTTAAAGTGTCCCAATATTCATACATGAATAATTAAAGAGGAAAACATATGCATTCATCCATAAAAAGGGTGTGGCATATAACAATTCAATTTAAAAAGGCACTCGAGTTCATTATGAAAGTAGCTATAACTGCTAAATGCTCAACTATGTCCACCAGCTGTGTCATTGTGCTGTTTGCAGCTGAGCTGGTAGTGTACTGTGGCTTTAACAGAATGTCTCTGATAACATCACTAACACTGAACTGAAACCACTAAATAACTGGATGATCAAATGCTCCGTAGAGCTGAGAGAAACTGCAGAGTCACTACAAGGGGGCCTTTCCCATGTGATCCATTATCAATATAAAAATATTGATCATAGCAGCTCAGAGGATAGAAATGAATATGATCTTACACAAGATACCAGACATCCTGAGGAAAGCAAGTGTGAAGAGGACACATATCAACCCTTCTTAACCGTCCACTTTGATGTATTATTGTCTACAAACGGATACATATATTTTGTTACTGATTTTTTTTAAGTGATTAACCTTCCCCCTTCAAAATAAGTGAAAACATAGATTAAAACTAATAAATTCCATTAAAATAAAACAAGGAAAAACAAGGAAAGATTGAAATAAATTAATAAAATAGAAACAAATTTAGAAAAGATAATTTCTTCCCCCTCAGAGACCAGATTATTTTTCATAAGAAAGAAGTGGGCTGCTTCTACCTGTGGGGTTGGCGAAGGCGTTGTCCAGACCTTTCTCCATTGGGGTTGCAGGCAGAGAGAGGGAGGCCTGGACAGCCGTGTCCATCTTCTCAGTGTCCTCTGTGGGGGAGCTCAGGGCGGACATCCTGCTCACATCTGTGTTCCTCTCTCGTACAGCCAGCTCCTGCCGCAAATCTACCAAGACATTCAAAATAAAGGAACATTTTGTAGCTCTTCTGCCCTTCAGACTTAAAATGAGGGAAAGCAGATATTTGAAATGGTTGGGGGGAGCAGCAGTATGTTAATGTCTGCAGCGTGTGATTGACAGCGTGGCTCATTAGTGAAACCTAGTCAATAATCACCTCTGGCTTCATCCTTAAATCTTTGCACAGAGAAAAGAAGAGACTCCTTCTCATCCAGCTCGCTCTCCAGGAAGGCGTTCCTCTCGATCGCGAGGTTCATACGCTGCTCGAAGTTCTCCAGAGACACGATGGTAGCTCTGAGGAAGGAGGGAAAAAAAGATTGACATTTTATGAATTCAATATCCTCACGGGGGCTCCTTTCTGTATGTCTTCAATACTCATGAATCATTATTCAAGTATGAATAAGAGATCAATATGTGCAGCATTGATTTAATTAAGTTCAAGGAAAGCAAGCAATTGAATTTAAGATAAGATAAGATGGACCTTTATTAATCCCTGTGAGGACTCCCCACGGGGGTTCATATGTTCATTGTAACAAAGACTGTTTCCATATAGTTTACACGGGGATCACAAAGAAACTGATTTGACGGTAGAAATACATATTTTGTTAAAGAAACATTTTGGAGGCAATATTGTAAATCCTGTATCATCCTTATAATACAAAAATAAATCTTATTTAGTGATCCATAAAAAAGCTTTTATATAAAGCTTTTTCTATCTTGTTCTCAATGTATCGCTCATTGGTGTTTCAATGACTGTTTGCAGTGGTTCAGTTTTAACTAATTGTATTATGTGTTTTATCCCTTTACAGCCTAACTGCAAATTAGCATTGGCTAGAAGTCCTATACACATTACATTGTTTACATTTTATTTAAATATAAAATCGCCTGTAAGTAGTATCCGTGTCATATAGATGAATACATTCAATTGTATTAAATGATATACAAATACATCTCGTCTACGGTGCATTGCGCTCATAATAAAGAAACAAATCTTCATCTGGTGACAAGAATCAATCCAATGTCACTCAGGAACATCAAATGCTTAACAGAGAAATGATATAGCCAAATAAAGAAGCGATTTTTTATTTGTTTCAAATGTGAGCCCCTTCACACCTTTTGGCTCTCTCCAGGTCATCGTTGGACTGCTCCAGCTCCCGGACGTATTTGTGGAGCTGATCTTTGATGCTGCGTGTCTGGCCGAGGTCGTCCTCCAGCATGGAGATCTGCTTGTAGCTCTGAGAGTACTGCTGCTCAAACCTCTCCTGAAGAAGAGGAGGAAGAGGAGACAGACAGCACATTATTATCGCATGTGTTCAGGAGATGTGATTGAACAGCTCCAGACACACACCACCGACATGCTTTCATACGTTTCTCAGTGCTCCCCTTCATTTCCCCAGTTAGGCAGCGGATGTGGAGTGTGACCTAAATATCTACCAGCTCCGAGACAATCAGCTCAATAAATACCGCCGGGTCCGTTCGTGTCTGACCTACATCTGCTGCTTCAACTGCAGCCACACAGGAGTCTTTTTACTCCAGAGGCTCATTCAGCACATGCCAGTTACACAAGTAACATCAAGATCACGTTGTGTGCTGTGATGTGACTTTGAGGTGCGAAACACAAGCAAGATAAGATGAAACACGGAGCAACACATTTGTTTTAACCCACAACATTCAAAACAACAATTCTCCAGTGTTGTTTTTGGAATAAAATGGTTTTCTAGATTTTAATTATTTTTGCAAAATACTGTTAAGATTTTTAGATTATATTTTCCTATGTTGTGTTTTCTTAAAAATGGTAATTTATATTTGTGAATTCCCTTTTCAAATATTGAGTTTCCTGCATTTTGTGAAATAGTATTGTGTTAGATACGCTTTCTTGATTTCTTACAGTTTCACTGATGCTGTTGTGTTTTCACCTTTATGCCACCGTAGATTCTTCATCAAAACTGCAGACAATGGATGAAATGTATAATGAACAACATCATTTTACTACACAATTTCTAAAATGTTGCCTCTTCTCAAAGCTCATTTTTTCTGAAATGGTGTTTGTACGGAAGACTGCATCCGTGGGTAAAACCGTTTGAGCCAATAGTATCATGAAAATCAAAAACATATTCACAAAAAGCAATTGATGTTGTTGGAAATACTATCCCTATTCTCCAACAGACAAATGATCCACCTGATGTGTGGATCCTGAAACCTGACAGACACTTTGGCTCACAAACATCTCATCCCAGCTGGAAACATGGACACACAAATGGGCATCCCGCCTTCCTGTAATTATGGCGCGAGAATCAGACACAACCTGATGCATTATGTATGAGAGACAAACAGTGTGCAGCCAGCTTAGGGCAGAGCAGGTGTTGGTGGGTAAGTAATGAAATAAGAAAAAAAACTGGTGTATCAGCACTTTCTGGGGGTGAGATTAACATTTAGATTGCACGTGGACTCACAGACTATATCAACTCCAGGATTCCACTGAGGCAAAAAAAGGAGTTGGAGTTATGCCTCCGACAAGCAGAGACACACACAAATGCTATCATTATACACACTTTTTTTTGTTGTGCGTTGGACAAGGTTTGATCTACACATTTCCCATGACCTTTTACATACAGTACAACCATAATGGCAAAGCTGCAGGTGCAAGTGCTGAGTGCATCCTGGGGAGCAGCAGCTGTTACAGAGGGACTTTACGTGTCCTCCCAAGAGACTGCACTCAAGGACGGGTGGTGATATAAGGAATAAAAAAACCATCAAATATTAATTTCAAGGGAATACATGGAGATATGCAATTTGTTCTTGATTCAGAGCTTACAGTACAACGAGAGCTATTTGTACAAATATTGTTTTCAAAACAGGACGCATATCTTAGCTTTTTCTGGGGAAATTATCATGGGTTTTTGGAGAATAAAAAAAATATATTAAAATGATTAAAGACTCATCCAGTACTGCTTTTTCAAATAAAACAATTCATAGTTTAGTCAATAAAATGTAAACACATTTTTTGTTTATTGAGGACAAAGGGACCTCTCAATATTCCCCTTTCAAATGAACCAACGTATCTCTTTTACAATGAACATAACTAGTCCTAGCTCCAAAAGTTGCAAAAATCAGCAGATATATCAAATCCTCATTTAAATATTATATTTAAATACAGATTTAGCTGGATCTTGCAACATAGAGTGCTAACGTTAGTTAATCTGTGTCAAATCTTAAAGCTAACATTGACTGACTTTTGCAAACACACTAGCTAGCTCATTTTCTTAATGCTTAAAATGTTTCTTAGGTAGGTACTAGGTAAATATCTAATCTTAGCTAAATCAAATATAAAAACATTAGACAGTGCCCTCTTGAGAGAAGAAGTTTATAATGTCATACCATTGGAAACGCTTGCAATGAGTCATCTTTAATGTTTGTTGTCAGTTATCATTGTATATTTTATATACTGTATTATATTATATTATCCAATCATTCTAAACGGGAAGGATAATACTGACTCAAACACATGTTTATATTTGTATGCATATAAATATCAAACTTAGCTGTATCAAACCAACACTTTAACAGCTCAGTTCAGATCAGATGGACATATTAGAAACACATTCCCACATCCTCTTCCTCCTGCAGTTACCTTGAGCGAGTCCACCTCACTCTTGAGTCTGTGGTTCTCCGACTGCAGGTCCTTCATGCGGTGCTCGGCCTGGCCCAGCTGTGCCTCCAGCTCGGCCTCCAGCTCCCGGCTCCCCTCCTGAAACTCCAGCAGCTCCTCCTGCGCCTCCTGACAGCTGAGGGCACACAGAGGAGGAGAGGCCATTACACAACAGGCCTAGACAGAAATGGGTCGGTGAAAGCCACGGGAGGCACGGCATGTGGCTGCATACATTATTATTTATATTTTGTTATCCTAAATAGGCTCTGACCCAGAAAAAAATTCAACAAACTAAAACATGATAATCAAATACAGTATGTATTTGAGTGGCAGGTCATCAATCATGGGATGATGGGAATTGTCAAAGTATGTACGAATTTAAACAGCAGGGGTTGGCCATCGATTCTTCAAATGATCAACCGTCAATATCATCAATATCAGTGGATCCTGATCAAGTACACCCTACAGTACTTAAATACACATTTGAGGTACGTATTTTTCTTTGTATATATATATTTTATTTTTTTTAATCAGCAAAACTGACCCAAAAAAAGACATAACAAGACGTTTAAAGTCATCACCCTAGGGCTGCAACAAACGACTAATTTCGATTATCGATTATCGATTAATGAAACGATTAATCGACTATTCGGACTATTATGCCTTGCACAATTTCTCTAACGCTCTTATTTAGCCATTAACTTTTAGATTTAGCTTGAGGTTGTTTAAGCATGTGGAAACTAACAATGAAGACAATAAACATGAATACTTGATTCAAAAATACATATATTGTTAAATTAACTAAACAAATTGTGAACAAAATTAACTTTTTATTTAATTAAATAAATAATATTCCTCATCAAAAGAAACAATATTTTAACAAATCGTATTAAATAATGTGATGACAGAATTGTAAACAGAATAGCTGAAACTTTAACAAAATAAATAACTCAGTTACCTCTAATCATTAACCCATGTTTGTATCATTTTGTTAACTGCGTGTGTTGCTGACGTGGAAAGGTTACTCGTGGATGGGGCTACAGAGCTACTAGAAAGACAGTCGAACCCGGTGCATTCCTCCGTCTGAATGTGGAGCACTTTTGCTAAATGTTTAGACACATTGCTCGTGTTACCGCCCTTACATGCTAAACACTATTACGGGTAGCATTTAACCACACCTTGGCGCGCTTCTCTCCGCCATCCCCGCCGTGTGTTGCTGCATGTAGCAGCCGCGTGTGTATAAACTGCCCCGCCCCCTTGCACACAGAGACGTGGGAGAGAGATCTCGGGCTGCTTCTCAGGCAAGCCCCCAGGAAGTCGGACTCAGATGAAAATATCTTTATATATACAGTCTATGGAAAATATTCGTGCTGGCCAAACGGCGGTACTACACTTTCGTTTGGTTGCCAGGCCCGGAAACACTTTTTCCCATTGACTTACATGGGGAAAGAGTGGTCTGTAACTCGTTGGATAATTTTTTTTAAACTAAATAAACTACCCAGTATGAACACTTGTATAGCCCTTATTAAAAACATTCGTTCCTCAAGTTGTAAAAATGTGCTAATAACGTTATTCTGAGAGTTATTTCCCTCTGCATTATGAACGCGCATCTAACCCACGGGACCGCGCCGCCCGGCACGTTCATGTTACGTGTCCGGACCAGGTCCCGACCAATCAGAGCACACTGTGCTCACAGGGAGGGTAGGGCTGGAGCTATTGGAGCTACAACGAGCCGTTAAAGGCAGAGAGTGAAATTTAGTGAATCCACGTAGTTTACAGAGATGCTGTATGAGAAACCAATGTGAGTTGCGTTTATCTTTACCCATGGATGCACAATAAGAACGGATCCATATCGTCTTACTGCCATCCTACGGAGCTGTAATAATGGATATATTGCACATGTTTGATGTAATTCATTATCATACTACATGGGCTGTATGATTACATCTTGTACCGTAAATGTTGTATTAAATAAAGTTAATATTACCGACATTATTAACGTCCCTGTAGCTTCGTATTGCACTAAGAAGCTTATTGCACTGTATATAAATATATATATATATATACAGTGCAATAATAATTTCATGCTAAATGAAGCTCTGTTGGATATCACTAGATCCTGTTACAGCGTAATATAAGTACATAACGATTGATGTTTACATTAGCATCATTACTAGCTAGCCGCTAGCTGCTAACTGCCGCCTCGTTCATATCAAATCCATGATAACAACATCCATTACCATGCTGTCATGAACGCGCGGTACTGTTACGTGTACGCAAATTGACGTGCTTGATGTGAACGAGCATTTTGGTTAAAGTTGCGCATGCTCTATGAGTGCACATACGGGTACTTCTCAGGCATGCAGGGTAATCTGTGACGTTTCACTCTCTCAAAAGTTGGTCCATTTTATTATCATGCGCTAATCATGGATGTATAATAAGAACTGGATACAGCGTGGGAGGCGGGGCCTCATTCATTCCTATGAGAGTTGCTCAATGGCGCATGATGACAAAATGGCCCAACTTTTGAGAGAGCGAAACGTCACAGATTACCCGGCATGCCTGAGAAGTACCCGTATGTGCACTCATAGAGCATGCGCAACTTTAACCACGCCGCCCAAAAGGCTCGTTCACATTAAGCACGTGCAATTGCGTACACGTAACAGCACAGCGCCTTCATGACAGCATGGTACTGGATTTATATTAACGAGGCGGCAGTTAGCAGCTAGCAAGTAAATTATGCTAAGTTACACATCAATCGTTATGTACTTTTATATTACGCTGACATCAGGATCTAGTGATATCCAAGCAACAGAGCTTCATTTAGCATGATACTTGTGTATGTTGCAAATGTATTATCTTTTCAATTTACACACGGCATCTATTGCACGTCTGTCCGTCCTGGGAGAGGGATCCCTCCTCTGTTGCTCTCCCTGAGGTTTCTCCCATTTTTCCCTTTAAACTGTGGGTTTTCTTCGGAAGTTTTTCCTTGTACGATGTGAGGGTCTAAGGACAGAGGGTGTCGTATGGTCATACTGATATTTTGTACAAACTGTAAAGTCCACTGAGACAAATGTAACATTTGTGATATTGGGCTATATAAATAAACATTGATTGATTGATTGATAGGTTGTACATGAAACCACTTGGTAATATATAAAAATGTATATGTTGAAGCCTGTTATGATCAATTGTGAGTTAAAACGTTTATCTAAAAAGTAAAGCTAATGATGGATTACTGTGGTGGAGTTAAAATAACAATAGCCTATTTCTTTTTGAAATGTGATGGAGTAAAAGGATAGTAACTGTGATTATTCATGTTAAGTAGCCCACAAGTAACTAAAACAATTGCAAGTGCAATAAGAAGCTACAGGAACGTTAATCTACGTCGGTAATATTAACTTTATTTAATACAACATTTACGGTACAAGATTTACATCATACAGCCCATGTAGTATAATATTTTACAAATGATGAATTACAGCAAACATGTGCAATATATCCATTATTACAGCTCCGTGGGCTGGCAGTAAGGCGATATGGTCAGTTGTTATTGTGCATCCATGGGTAAAAGGTACAACTCATGTAGTACTGAACACATCACATAAACGTGCCGGGCGGCGCGGTCCCGTGGGTTAGATGCGCGTTCATAATGCAGAGGGAAATAACTCAGAATAACGTTATTAGCACATTTTTACAACTTGAGGAACGAATGTTTTTAATAAGGGCTATACAAGTGTTCATACTGGGTAGTTTATTTAGTTTAAAAAAAATTATCCAACGAGTTACAGACCATTCTTTCCCCATGTAAGTCAATGGGAAAAAGTGTTTCCGGGCCTGGCAACCAAACGGATGTGCAGTACCGCCGTTTGGCCAGCACGAATATTTCTATCTGAGTCCAGCGTACTTCCTGGGGGCTTGGCGCTAATGAGCAGCTCTCATAGGAATGAATGAGGCCCCGCCTCCCACGCTGTATCCAGTTCTTATTATACATCCATGTTCTCAGGTCGATTAAATGAAATCCTTGCTTCCCTCACTTGCGTCGTTTCCCTGCGTTTAGTCCCTCCCACCAGGGAAGCATGGAGGGACGCAAGGAAACCACGAGAAACAGGGAAATTAGTTTTAAGAGCAATGGGACGTCCTTTCCTCCGGAGCGTCACGTGAAGCGACGTCCGTTTGTGATGACGCTGCACAGCTGATCGTCTGACAGCAGCTCTGTCCCCGTTATTTCCACACACACCCCCGCCTCTGTTAGTACACATTTACTGACACAAACATTTGTATCATCTGTTGTAGACCCCAATACATAAAATAAAATAAGAACTAATTCCCAAAAAAGATAAACGCCATTCTTAAAATGTATAAACGAACAATAGTTTGATTAATATTGATTAGAGTGCACAAAATAAATAAAATAATTGAGAGAAGAAAAAGAGATATGTTATCTATCAAAACCCAGTCAGATTAACATTCATTGGATTGCACACTTTGTTTGTTTGTTTGTTTGGATATGTAGCACATTAACATTTTAATAGCACTTAATGACTGACTGAATGGAAATGACAATAAATGAAAATGTAAAACGAAAAAAGCGATCATGAAAATGTTTCCAACAAATGAATAAAATGATTTTTGACCACTTTGTTGTTCAGATATATCACATATTTGTAACTAAATGATACATTAATTGAAACAAAACACTGTATAAACTGAGGAGTGACTCCCGTGAGGTTCATGTATTTTCTTCACTCCGCTGGGAAACTGCTCTCATGTCAAGAAGCATCAGATCAGTGCATGCACTGCCTCGTCCAATCAGTGAGCGATACACAGTAAGGGGGCGGGGCGAGTATCTGAAGATTTCATCGGAGGATGGGCTGGTGGTTCCTCGGTTATCGCTCCTCCATTATCGCTCCTCGCTCCTCCGGCAGAAATAAGAGCCATGGGACGCTACTCAAGATGGCGCAGACAAATCAACTTCCGGTGAGACCGAGGAGCGAGGAGCGAGGAAATTAAAATAGTCGACCTGAGACGGGGCCCTCGTCTCAATTGGAAAGGTCGAAAGTACATCATAGACGCATTTTTGTTTTCTTTTTGCATATTAGAAACGAGTTGGCGACACTAAGACTGCGATATAAT